TCACAATATCACAAGTTGATAATTTCATAGTTGTTGTGTTTCAATTATTTCGAATCGCAGATGAATCTTCAGAATTTTCTAGTTCGAAATATGTTTTCAAATGCCAAATTTAATAGGTTGATCGACATTTAATTTTGAAATATGTACTTAGTTGCTAACGAAATACCGAAGTACAAAGTGAAGTGAAAGTGAAAAAGTGAAGTGATAAAGCGTGTATCCCAAAACAAAATTTTGATTTGTCGAAAAAATTATATTTTTCAAAATATCAAGTTCATAACTTGTGACATAACTGCAGCATTTGTGGACTGTATGTAAATAACAAACTCTTTCCAATAAGAGTAACCGAAATATTGAAAATGATAGGTACAGCACTTTAGTGAAACTTCTAGAAAGTATAATTATACAAGTAGAATGACTTTTCCTTTCGATTTGGATTAGTTTTTCGACTTCACGCACATTTTTGGCGCCACTTACTAGACGAACGAATCTACTAAAATGCAAACGAGAAACGACGTGGATGAAGTGCAGTATTTCTCATTGAATTAAAAAATTTAAATATTCTTGGAGATAACTATTTTGCAGGTCTGCAGGTCAGCAAATTGTTCTCAGTAGACATTGCTCTCGTAATCTTCTAGGAGGACACAAATTCTTGCAGGTCGGGTCTGCCAGACATAAATCTCGACCAGGCTAATCATTTTCGACAGAAACATTTTTAACTTTAAAATACCGTATGTGTACACCCACAGGCGTTAAAACGTAACCCACCACTACGACCCTGTAGCGATATACCTGAATGAATTCCGACAGCTATTGCAGTTAAAGGTCTCTACCCAATATACCGTACCAAACCATGACCGTAAATGTACCAGCACATGCTAAAAAATATTCTTTCATACGATTTATATGAACCAACGACCACTAGACCGTTCCGTCACCGGTCCGGTATGTAGCGTAGCATGCACGTGCCATGACAGTATTCGAGTTGAGAATATTTTGCCGGTGAAGTGACGTTGCTAAACCGTAGGCCTCCGGCAGCAAAACGGTGTATAAACAGGTTGTAAACCATTTTCAATTTTATTCAGCAATACATTCCATTAAAATGTAGTTAATTCCATAGCCATATTTGTTCTTCGTGGTAAACTCTTCTACACATTCACACTACACTGATGAGTAAGCCGAAATAACATACAATACTTCACATTACCTACAGTTATCAAACGGGTATCTAACGGTCATCATACCCGTATGATACGGTCATTATACGTGTTGGTTATGGGCTTAGAACACGGTTGATCCATTACAGTGGGCAAGGTAGACCATATGCATTTTTACGTTTCCTACACCGTGAATGCTACTGGTTGCGTTGACGAGCTAGGAAATGTACTGCACGCCAAGCTCTCCGTTCCCTAGACAGTGCGCGCTACAATGAGTGATTGATACTCAAAATGCCTGACAGTAGTGACAGTAGATCATAGTGGTAGTAGTAGGTAGTTGGCTTTTTCTAACAGTAATAAAAACAAGCTAGGTAATCATTTGTAATGTATAATTTCAATTTAATGTGTCATATACATACATTCTGATAGTAGGTACCATTGTGTAATAGGTACTTAATAAACACCTATTTAATAAATATGAATATATGCAGAAATATGTATACAGGTAGCATTTAACGTTTACTTCCATGACCGATAGCATTTGGTTGATTGAGCTCAATATTTTTACATGATCTCATCCATTTTGATCTCTTCTTTTTGTTTCTTGAAACTTCTAACATTGAAGGCCTACCTGCCTGTATTGCTCTAGCGCCAGCATGTAAACTTCTATTTGCTCAGCGGGCAACAGAAGTAGGCTGGACTTTCATCTTTATCGGTTTTTTTAAATTACAAATGCTTGTGCAGATATTGGCAAACGACTCAATATTTTTGATATTCTCGATTTTCTTATCGCTGTTAACCGTCCATCGTCTCCTCACAAAATGGGTGTAACTATTTTACAGGTCTGCAGTTAGCAAATTGTTCTCAGTAGACATTGCTCTCGTTATCTTGTAGGAAGACACAAATTCTTTCAGGTCGGGTCTGCCAGACATAAATCTCGACCAGGTTAATCATTTTCGACAGAAAAATTTTTAACTTTAAAATACCGTATGTGTACACCCATACGCGTTAAAACGTAACCCACCACTACGACCCTGTAGCGATATACCTGAATGAATTCCGACAGCTATCTGCCCAATATACCGTACCAAACCATGACCGTAAATGTACCGGCACATGCTAAAAAATATTCTTTCATTCGATTTATATGAACGTATGTAGCGGTATGTAGCGTAGCATGCACGTGCCATGACAGTATTCGAGTTGAGAATATTTTGCTGGTGCCGATACGTAACGTGTATGGCACGTGACGTTGCTAAACCGTAGGTATCCGGAAGCAAAACGGTGTATAAATCATTTTCAATTTTATTCAGCAATACATTCCATTGAAATGTAGCCATTAGCCATAGCCATATTCGTTCTTCGTGGTAAACTCTTCTACACATTCACACTACACTGATGAGTAACATACAATACTTCACATTACCTACAGTTATCAAACGGGTATCTCCATTACAGTGGGCAAGGTAGACAGTGTCGTGTTATTTTCCGTGTCTGATACGGTCATAGCACGGTCATGGTTTGGTATGGTATAGTGGGCAAATACCTTAAATCTGATTGGCCAGCGTAAAGAGGCTTAATTATTTAACCCAATAGATACAAATGTGCATGGTGATCATGCTTTGATCACGCGTCTTTCATTGTTTGGGTTACTTTGTTTATTGTATGGACAGAGTTTAGATCTTAAGTATCCCCCACAGATCCATGTAGTATTCATCAAATTTTTGTTTTGGATAGAATTGGACAATTTGCTTGTATAAGGATCAGATCATCATTATTTTGACCAATAAGGAGGATTGGATTGTCTTGAACATTATGAATTGGAATTTGAACGATATTTTAATCTGATTTTCTGAATATCATAGTTTTGTGCAGGTTGTTTTGGATCGTAGGTACATTAATCTTTTACATTTTAGAGTGAAATATATCGGAACTGCAACCACATATTTCTGCGTAAACTTTTTCATATCTGTCCATTTGCAGCAGAGTGATAAAACTGGACCAGCCAATTCAATTTTGGCAGTTACTAAAGCACTATCAATGTGGTGTTTCTTCCTTCATCCATCAGTAATGCGGTGATATTGAATACACTGACAGTATTTTGAGTAAAGTACTGCAGGTTACATCATTAATGGATTTATTAGCTAGGGATTTCTTTGATTGGTGTCAGATAAATACTCCATAATTTTATGTAGAATATTATGATGCAAACGATGTCAATTGTTTTTGTCACAAACTTTCTTTTTTCTGCAATTGCCATAATGAAAACTTATGCACCAGTAACAAACTTTCGCCTTTTAGACATCATTATTCATTGTTGGCCCATTCCATGACAAAAAGTCGTAATTTCATGAACGAATTGAGTGTTTTTTCTTATAATGTTATCCGTGCTTGTTACTGAAAAGCCAAAAAGGCAAGTGTTTTACGGCGAAACATTCGGATGTCTATCAGTGAAATTTTAGTTCTTTCATTAATTATGTTGTTTGTTGTGATTTATTTTTCAAAGAAAGTTTGTGGAGATCAAATCGTGAGGTGTAGTTTTTGAAATTGCTATGGATCTTCATCAAGTAACGGCCGAATCAATCAGAAAATTTTGTTGTGTTGGAATTCTGTTAATGGTATCTGATTTAATTCCATTATGAATATTTGGAATACAAACGGAATAGAAAAACTGTTTTTTGTATAATTCAACATTCATACAAAAGTATTTGTTTCGAAAGTATTTTTCTTTCGTGTAATTCAATTTTTATATAAAAATAGTTGTTTCGAGAGGGCTTTTTCTTCCAGTTTGTGTCTGAATGNTATATATATATATATATATATATATATATATATATATATATATATATATATATATATATATATATATATATATATATATATATATATATATATATATATATATATATATATATATATATATATATATATATATATATATCGTTCACAAATTGTAGTTGTATCAAATTACTCAACAATTCGTTGACGGTATTCATAAGGATATCAGTTAACCTATGTGCAGAGGATGCAGTACCTAGTGTTTCTTTTTCAAATGAATCGTGGAGTTCGTATAGACTTCTAATGTTTGAGTGTTTCACTGACAAGAGTTGAATGTTTAATAAATTATTCTGAATTCGTTTCAAAGTTGAATCCAAAAAATGGCAAGATTATTTTCTTCACTTCTCTTCCTTTTGGATCTTCGTTGAACAGAAGAAATACAAAATTTTTACTAAACTCTCTTTACGAATATGTTTCAGCGATATATCTAGCATGTCAGTAAATGTCACTTTTGAAAACTGATATGCTCGAAGATGTGTTACGCACAAAAAAAGAAGTACAGTTCTTGAAAAAACCATATGCAAAGTTCAAAACTACTTTAACAGATATGAAGATATTCATCTATCTATCTCAACAAAATCACCTTAGTAACAAACCAGTGAATTAAAAATATAACTCTATTTTACAGGCACTCTAATCAATAACAGTCTCTTTTTCAAGGCCACGTGAAGACGAATATCTCCATTATTCCATTGATATTGTCAATCAAAGGTTATAGTATTTTTCCTATTATACCTTTCCATTTTTTTATTCTATAATTATGTTTAATTCATTTGACTAAAGTCGAATGTACTATTATTGAAAATGTATTTATATACAAACCTAATAGTTTGAGAAAAAACGATAAGAAAAATCGTTTCCACTGTTGAGACTCATATCAATCATTTGAAAATATAAAAAAATTATGGTCTTTCCTTCTGCAAAATGTTGATCTGTGTTTTGGTGACAAAAGACAGAAAACATTGTTGTGACGTGACATAACATCTCCAAGCTCAGAATACAAGACTACAAATTTCTTTGAACAGAAAACAGTAAAAAAGGCGAGTTCTTAAATTCACGACGAGTTCATCGGGTGATCCCAATGAATTCATCTATTGGTCTATTCGAAACGTTAGCGCGTTTCTGTTAGTTGAAGAAATCCATCAAAAATTTTCTGAACACGTCTAAACACTGAAAGAATACCGCAAATGGACGGCTTCCCCTGTCATGGCTTCTTCGTCAGTGTGACAGTTGAGAGGAGAAAGTATTAATTATCGTAATTATTGTGGAATAATTAATATTATGAAACTTTGAACAATTCAAAACTAAAGTTTATCTGTTTAACCTATAAAAACAAAATAATTGCTAATAGTCGTGAAATGAGATATAAGTGCTGCTAAAAATGTTTAGATTTTTAAGTGGAAGAAAACCCAGAAATACCTCGTCGAATGGTGCAGGTGATAGAAAATCGAATAAAAATGTGATAAATAAAAATTTAATCCAATGTAGGGTCATATTATTGGATGGAACGGATTTATCAGTGGAACTGTCTGTAAGTTATTTTCAAATAAAAGAGGTTAACGACAATAACTGCTCAAATTTTTGATTGTGTAGGCGTTACTTTCAACAGTATTCAATTTCATAATTTATTAATCATGTCATATTTTAACTGTTACTGCTATTATAAGAAGTTTTTCCATTAGAACTGGGATTCATTCAAATAAAAGGCTTTGATTTCAACAAAAAAGTATGTTATACTGGGTATGCAAATCATAAACTGATATCCTGTTATTGATAACAAATGGATAATGTTCAATATTGGTAATTTTCATGGTTAATTTTAGGTGTTATTAATTAGGTGTTGTACAATAATTTTGATCAATTTCCTATCAATTATGTGCATGAGAGAAGAAAAAGGAATTATTTTCTTGCTTTCTAATATCTTTTATAAATGAATCACCTTATGCAACAGTATATTCCAGTTCCCAAGTCCTTAAAACAATAGGCATTGTTCAGTTACTAATAGAACTTTGGTAATTTGTTTTATTTTAAAATCTTACAACATATTCTTTATTTTATTTGGGCAATAATTTAATCTTTATTCCTTATAAATTATCGTTTCAGAAAAAAGCAAAAGCCAGGGATCTATATGAGCAAGTTTTTTATTCCTTGGACCTGATAGAAAAAGACTACTTTGGACTGCAATTCACTGATGCTAATCATGTCAAGCACTGGTTGGATCCTACCAAATCTATCAAAAAACAAATCAAAAGTTAGTTTCTTCTGATTATCATATGTATATTTTTGAAAGAAATATTTTTATGACTATGCTTCGTAGGAACTCCATATATTTTGTTCATATTTAAGTTTTATTTTTTTATTAGTTGGCCCACCATATACTCTTAGGCTCAAAGTGAAATTCTACTCATCAGAACCTAACAATCTAAGAGAGGAATTAACCAGATACCAATTTTTCTTGCAACTGAAGCAAGACCTTCTTGAAGGAAGATTGGAATGTCCCTACGAAATAGCGGTAAAACTATCTGCTTTGGCTCTACAATGTAAGTGACATATTTATTCAAACTTTCCAATATATTTTATTATAAGGGAGTAGTTAGAATGTTTTGTGGGTTTTTACCCTTCTACAATCTGAAAAATAAATGAATTACACAATAGGGAATATGTTCAAGTGTAATGACGGGCAAACTGAAAATTTCACTGTGAAAAGTTACTATGTATTTAATATAAACCTTTGAAGTGTCCAATAAGTTACTACTTTGTTGTATTAATATTGCTATCATTTTTTTATTTATAAGCCTAGCTGATTAACGGAAAAACAGATTTTAAACAGAAACAGATTTTTTTATTAATTTTGAACTGATTTTCGTTGATTTATATTTATTTGTTCTCATTACTGCAAGATCATATTTCTAGAAAAAAATGTATCCATTTTCTATTGAACTTTCAGCTGAACTTGGAGATTATGATGACACTCAGCATTCCCCAGCTACCGTTTCAGAATTCAGGTTTGTTCCTAATCAAACGGAGGAAATGGAAATAGAGATTCTGGAAGAGTTCAAAAAATGTAAAGGTCTCACACCTGCTCATGCCGAGCAGAGTTTTTTGAATGAAGTCAAATGGTTAGAAATGTACGGGGTTGACATGCATACAGTACTGGTAAGTTTTCAAGAAAGTTCCTCTTACACCAGGGTCTCTCTATTTTTGTCAGCTTAATTTTTTATTCATAGTACTTGGAATTAATCATTATCTTTAGGCGTTTTCTGGCGCTCATGTATTCAAACTTATTCACCTGTCATTCAAATACATTCATTCTGGCATTGAAACGATGACGTCACATCAACTATGATTTGAAACGTATTCATCATGATTCAAAACTAGCTTGAGGTTTGACATGTTACATGTTACGTCAGTTGTTGGTTTCTGCTTTATTTTTATCGTTATAGTTCATAAAGTGCTGAAAACTTTTCATCAAATACGTTGTAAGGATGTACAAAATAAAGCTGGAAAATTATTACTTGCACAAATCCAATTATAACTGACGTTAGAGAAAATTGAAAAGTTTATGTCATTATTTGATTAACTTCAACAGAAACAAACCCTATTATTCTTTAAAATAACTCAATTTTTTTTATATCATGAAACTTCAATGAATCATTTCCAGGGCAAAGACAGCATGGAGTATAGGTTAGGTTTAACACCAACAGGTATTCTAGTTTTTGAGGAGCCTAATCAGAAGATAGGCTTATTTTTCTGGCCAAAGATTGGCAAACTCAATTTTAAGAAGAAAAAATTAACTTTAGTAGTAGTGGAGGATGATGACCAGGGCCGAGAACAAGAACACACCTTTGTTTTCAGGTAAGAGATATTTATATAGTTTTATTATGTTTCTTGAACACATCAACATGCAACAACAGAGACTGTGTTATTCTTTCTCAAATAAAAGCTTTTAAATAATTCAGAAAAACGTTCATAGACAGTAACTACGAAAAGCTAAGTCGATTATTGAATAGATATGTTGAAAATAGAACTATTTCTATCAATTGGTATTTGTACAATGCTGATCTAATTAAAGGAATATATAAGGAATCGGTACCAAAACTGGTTGATCTGTTGTACAAAACCTCTAGTTGCAGAGACTAGCGATGGATAAATATTTTCACAACTTCATTGTGTAATTATTTATTATGTGTAACAAAAATTTCAAAGTTGAAAAAGTATTTTCCTAGAATACCAATAAGAATTTCATAATTGGCGAGATCGTGAGCTAGTTTGAAGTGTACGATGAAAACTCCATATGAGTCCTTGGTATATAGTATAGTGCGGAAGATTCTCAATAACAAAAATTGGTACCATATAAATATCGATAGAGTTTAGGTATTACTTTCAGGGGATCCATAGAGAAGAATTGTTTTTTTGTCGTGGAATGTTTTATGGTCTAATAAATCCAATTTTTCCAATTGCATATACATTAGAAAAAACTGACACTTGTCAAGAGCAAGACTTTTTTTTTAATGTCCAGAATAATTATATCTAGTATTATCTTTCCATTTTTTGTGATGATTTGGATGGTGCGTATTTGAAGCTCGCAATTTCTTGAATGAAATTAAATTTATAAGTAGGCACAGTTTATATTTCCAGCAAGATGGATACCTGCTCAATTTAAAATATCATTTTCTATCAGAAAAAAAGTATTACATACAGAAACGTTAGGATACAGTTCCAAACCACGACGGCCTTCGAACCCGAATGAAGACGGTAACAATGAAAATCTCGGCCACGAAAGCCTAAATCAATTTATCAACATTACATACAGAGCTTTCCGTTAGAAAAAATGTTTTTGATGATTAGAAACTTGAATGTTCCTGGAAACATTAGTTTCAACATACTGCGTAATTACAAATTTCATTTCAATATTTTCAGCCCAGTGTTATCAGTCAGTAGTAAAAACGGAACACTACCTCGTAGCAAACCAGTTAGTCCAACTACAGTCCTCCCACCAACTAGCCCAACACCATCGAACACTGATAGCCAGTTGGACTTTTTATTCAAAAGTTTGGCCAAAGAATCTCTCACAGGTATCGCAAGGGATGATAAGAGGAATGAAAATACGGAGTCAGAGAGTAAGTGTTTTTCCTTGAAAACTAGAAAAGGAATTAGAAATTATCAAAAATTCGAGTCATCATTTTTAGTTCTATGTGAATCATAAATTCAATAATGAAATAATGAATTGTGTTTTACAGCAGAGGCTGATTGCGGTTCAAAATCTCTAACATCTGAAATACCAAACAATATCAGTAGAATTAGTGGCGGAGCAAAACCACTGCCCCCTGGACAAATAAAATGTAATATTTTGAAAGGTTTGTATTTTGAAATGCTAGTATTTCAATTCTATATCAAATAATTTATGTCACAGCGAAAGCTGAGGAGGAATTGCAAAACTCGAAACTCACAAATCAAATGTTTGTTCAAGCCAAGGAAGAGGAAACATCTCTGAATGCAGCTACTTTCATATCTGTGGTAAGTTCTGATGAAACAATTATAGTGTGATTCGTTTTTTAGGCCACAAGATTATTGTTGTCATTTGGGGATAAAACAATCCAATAATATTTTAAAGATTATAGAGATTTACATGAATAATATCAATTTTGATTGAATGTTTGGTGTATGTATATGCATATACATGGGCTCTCAGTTTTGTAACTGAGTGAGAAATCTGCATACATTTTTTTTAGTTTTCATTGATTTTTTGATACTTTTTTCTTGTCTGGAGATTTTTTTGTTTTGTAATACATTAATGGAGCAGTAGAAAACAAAACAAAAAACAATTCTTGTATAAATCTCAACAGCAGAATCACCAAATAATATGTGTAATTCATGTTCTAAAACTTACTAATACATTTTACTAAAAGATTTTCACTATAAAACGTATTCAAAACCTTGACACATGTTTCACTATATAATAGCATCCTCAACTAGGAATGATGAGGAAGATATTATATAAAGAAATATGTGTTTGGGTTTTGTAAACTTTTTATAGCGAAAATCTTACTGAATTATTAAGTTTTGATATGGACTTTCAAATAATATTGTCGATTCCAGTCAATGGTTCATGTTTTGCTAACAAAAGTCAGATCATTCAACGATTATAAATACACCTTGTTAAATGTAGGAAGAGTCTTCTGAATTCCGTTATAGCCCCGCCCACTAGATCTGCGTTCTTTAGAAGACAGTGAGAGTGAGAGAGAAAAATTTCTCAAGTCTCTTCCTAGGTTTGACAAGCTGTATTTTGTCATACTCCTGTTTTGTGAAAAATGACTTATTGAATAGTTCAACAAATACAGATAAAGTAAAGGCAATAAACTCCTCCCCTTACAAAAAACCCATGGGATCGGGAAAAAACTCAATCCACATATATCAAAGATAAACATAGCTTTCACAGGCGGCCCGTTGCCTTTACTGCAGTAAAGATGGAGGACAAATCTCGTTTCTTGGTCAATACATTATTTTTTTATTAAATCTTGAAAATTCTGTGACAAATAAGGTATCATCACCGATAATATTTCATCTAAAGCACTGTTTCATTTTTGTAGAATACTTGAGTCAATTTAGAATGAGTCAATTAAACTTTCCCACCAGCTTGGGAATTGATCATTATATTGATTTCAATAATTAATTCTTTTACAATGAGTCCAGTGACTTCAATAGTGATCATCAGCAAACATTGTTAAATAACTATCATCAACATATTCAAATAAATCATTGTTAAACAGAATTAGCAGTAGAGGGGCAAGAACAGAACTGTGGAGAATGCCTAATAGTTATAGTTTTTTTTTCACAAAACTAAATGACCTAATCGTTTTCATTAAGTAGGGCTTTCTTATTTGGGTTTCTCTTCACAATTTTTAAATTATCAGGATTTCAAAATTGTTTGTGCCTATTGAAGAAGTTAAATACCTAATTCAATAGTGTGAATATTACACAGATGGAATGTGCATGATCCCCAAATGACTATTCAATAAGTGACTAATACTGTATGTAGATTAACTCGCATTTTGTCATGAAGATTTATTATATGTTCATAATTCTGATATCATATCAGGAAAATGTAAAATTTTTGAGAAATAGACAGGATATTCTCATCTTTTATAAAGTCCTCTTTACATCTTTAAATATACCGTCATGGAATTTCCAACATAGTATAAGTCCCTGTAAAACCTATAATCACTGCAGTAAAGTAATTGCTTATCATTGAAATCAACTGTTCTCTTGTGGTTTAAGAATTTCTAAAGTACATAATCACTGAAAAATACCTATATCCAAAGAGTGAACCAAAATTATTTGCGCAAACACTGAAAACAATATTTGACAAAACTACTTATTAAAAGTGTTACGAAGGCAGAAGAATAAACTCAAAACGTTTATAAAAAGTTTAGGATAAATCTTTCTAGCGAGTAATGACCATTTCTTGTGAGTAGAATACTATACTTTTTCTATAACTTACATCAAGAATATTTCAAAATAATCTTCATTTGCGAGAGATATGTAATTGAATGTATATGTAACTAAAAATTCATCTAAACTAACTGTAAATAAACGTCTTGAACTTGATCCTGAAGAGTTATATTATTGAATTTCATAAAAAGAAGCAACCTGAAAAATCATTTTGAAATACTTTCTGTTCTTGTTATTTTATATTTCATATAAAATATCTGCCGTCATTAGGATTTTAACTCAGGTACTACTCCAGTTTGCCAGTCGCATGTTACACCAACTACTCGATCACTCTAATTTTGTTATTAAATGATGAACTTTGAAATATATCAATTTCTTCGTCACATATTCAATTTCTGCTAATCTACACTCGTTTTCACTCCTCAATTTAATGTTATGATTTTTTGCATTAGAAACTATATATGTTGAAATTAAATCAGTTCAATGATTAGGTTTGCCGTTTGAGAATATTTTGAATCAGGTAAATTCTCAAAGACTACTTGACATTGAAAATAAATGAAATACGACTTTGAATTTGCTCAGCTGGTTTTGAAGGTAGTGAGCTATGAATCATGTGTCTCAGAATATTACTCATATTTGAGTGTGTTTAAATTTCTCATATCTATTATAGAGAACATGCATTTCTGACACTTCCATGTTATCGGAAAATTTTATAACCTTTTTTCTAAATATATTCCGGTTATAACAGCAAATAATGTATTTGTAAGATCAGTTTCATACCCTGAATATGAAAATATTTGTATTAGAAGGACAGAGAATGACAAAATGTGAGGAATGCTTTTTGTGCTTTTTTGTAAATGCTTCTGTTGCGTTTAGGGCGGGGATAAGTTAACACTCTCCGTGAGTGGTCCACCGAGTTTGCCTCCTATTATAACAAACTCAATACTAAAATCTCCGAAAATTCTTGAAAAAGAACTGACCGAAGAGAATAAAAATAAGGTGGAAGAGAAAGATCCAAAACGATGTCCTACTCCAGTTACTGTCACATTTTTTGGACATAACGATGGGAAGTTAGAAATCTGCCAAGTTGAAGATGAAAAAGTTAACTTCAATCCTTTTGCTAATTATTTGAACGATTCAAATGCCAATCCTTTTCGTTCCATAAATCCATTCCATCCCAATAATCCATTTTGTAGCAACGAAAATGAGGTGAAAGAGGAACAGGTTGAAGTTGAAATAAATGATGCAGTTGATCAGGTGAGTGCTGCCATGCTTTTGTTTCATTTATTTTTTGTTCGCAATTGTCTGCTTGACGTGAATGTATCAAACAAAATATTTTCACTATACATCTTTAATTTCACAAGTAGTGGTTTAAACTATATGTAATAACGTATATACAAAAAAATATGGAAGTAGGTGTCAACTTACTCTAAATGGAACACCCAGATTTCATAATTTGACAATTCATCAATATGGATTGTATTTTTTGTTAAAGAGTCGTTAGGGTGTTGTGCCTAATCATGGTAGGTAGGTGTAAAGTGCGTAGGTCTGTTTGACCCTACACAGCAACCGGTGAAGGTTTATTGTGGCTCACAAATATTTAAATTCGAAAAAATAAATTCAAAGGGTACGTGTAGGTTGTGAGAACGTGGCAATATTCATCCAAGCAGATGCGAATGAGAGTAATTTGGATTTTATTATTGATTTTTCTCTTGTAATACAATGCAATCTTTCTATTTTCTTTGTACAGTAAACTATCAAAATGATCTTATACAGGATGTAACAATCAGAGAGGTCTGATAGTAGCCCATTGGTTAGTATGGGATTTTTTATTTTCACTGCGTTTCGAGTGACAGAATAAATACAGGATAAATAAAATAACTTTTGTGTAATTTCTACTAAGATTTTTATTCGTTTCGACCGATTTCGGTTTGTTAAACCATCACGAACAAGAGTTTATTTGAAAATGGTTCAACAAACTTAAACCGGCCGTAACAAATAAAAATTTGAGTAGAAATTAAGACTAAAGTTATTTTCTTTATCCTTTATTCAATATGAATTTTTATAAAATGAATAGGTCATCGATCAAACCTCCATAATACTTACAAAGCACAGGTTTCAATTTCTGAGGATTATTGTTAATAGGGGATGGTGACAACTGGTTAACAGAAATACACATTTGAATGTCATTACCAGATTACAATAACACATAGTAACAGAAAGATGCGCAGCAAAATACTTACTAACTCACTTCCAACTCACATCTTCTTGGATGTATATCGCTTTGAGCTCACATCTACACCTAACGGTCAAGTTTGTCTCGCTAGGTGTCGGAACTGCCCTGCTACTGAGGAAACATCTTACAGTTACCCAAATAACATCTCTAAAATTCAGCTTTTATACTACAATAATTTGATAAAATTTCAAGTCATCATTTGAGGAGCTTTCAGACCTTTGTTACTTGTTATGTTCCAAAGCCCCGATGATCCAAACTACATAGTATCAATTCCTACTTATATTTGGGGTCATGCACTGTTAAACTTTCAGCTTCTATAAAATTACGAAGATCTGGCATTCATGAACTCATAAGACTACAAAGATTTCCTTCTTGAAATAAAAATTATTTATTTTTGTTTGAAAACCAATTATGAGAAATCGACCCTGAATAATTTTCACCGACCCACCGACGTGATATAGTCTAAATAAAAAATATTAATTTTTTTTACGTTTATATTTATTTCAGAATAAAAATGAAGAACTTGACTCAAAATTGACAACTCCTCTCAGTCCAACTCTCAGCAAAGTATCACCTTGGTTGGTTTCATCAGAGGTAGTATCTTCGCCAGTTTCGAAGGTGAACACAACAGAAACAGCAATAATTAGAAAGTCTGTGATTACAACACAGCTCTGAAAATATGTAAATATTAATACATTTATGTATTTTCAGGCATACTTATTGCACCTATTCCCTTGAAGGAAAATCCAACAAACTTAAGTCTGTATTGTTCCTACTTTTTTAACAGGTGGTAAAAATTTAATTGATGTCAAAAAATCTAATTAGAGAGGTACAACTATCTTTTCGAAATATTGAGGTACTATACTATAATTTGACCACCAATAAAAAAAAGTAAACATTGACCAAAATTTTTGAAATTGACAGTATTATTTCAGAATTATATTGAAAATGGTCTCTGTTTTTTGAATTGTTCTGAGATTTGCCTTCATTTCCCACTGCCATAGAGGAAAAGTTGAATATATCGATCAATATCCTAAAATCGAACCACATGTTATAATATGAAGAGTAAATGGGAACAATATTTCATACTTTTGATCTTTTCATTAGGTGTTGAAAGTATATATTATGTTAAAACTTTGTGACATTTTCACAAAAACAATTTTTTAATTAAGTTTAGAGGGCTTCGGCAAATATAAACACCCTGTGTCAGTGCAGGCTTTGTCTTTAGATACAGCCTTTGATAAAGACACTATCTTTATTATTATTCATTGTGTCCAATTTTGAATGGCCATGTTTTCAACATCTCAGTTGTAAAGATCATATTGTAATTGAAAAAATTCATGGTTTTGAGTGGATTAGATTTTGTTAATATTCATGTTCATTTCTGTATATTGTCTTTTCAAGGCATTAAAAAATTCCTGCTGCTTGTGCAGTAAATCGAAAATACGATTGAATTTTTTGCTGCCTATAAAACAGGTGAAAACAGTAAATTTCAATAATGTGTAAATTTTTATTAATGAAAGAAATACTGAAGGTTTGGTTGAAGAACTAAAGGAAAAGTATCTGAAGGAATTAAAATATGATATTCAGAAAATGTTTTCTACATTTTCAATGTCGCTGTCATGCCATGCCAGGAGACGTGTCTTAACGAGTTTTCATGTGACATACCTGTTCATAAAAGAGCTCATCGATAAGTAGACTTGTTTTGAATCATTGATAAGTATTGAAAACTCAGGTGAACAACTTATTTAAAGGTATGTTCAGTTACAGGAAACAACTGACCTAACCTTTCTGATGAACATTTTAAAAAAACAAATATTCAAAATATAAACAAGGAATAGTGCATTTTTTATGATATTTGTTTGGGATCAAAAATAGCAACAAATGGCCTTTTTCATCACAAATTTATTTTTGTGGACAAGCATCAGCATCAATCAAACGTGCAAAAGCGGTTTTCCTTGTTCTAATATACCCTAACACTTTGTATGTACTATACCTCCGTTTCTGTAGTATAGCTGAACTTCAAGGTTTTGTAATCCCAGAGACAAATGAAATATTATTGAGGTGCTTCTGAGAAAGTTAACAAATACTCATTGGAAGTCATGTTATTCTGTATATTTTTATCACTTTCTTTGGTTAAATATATTCAAGAATAAGTAGCTGAAATTATATCTATATATATGCGGTACAAATTTAAAAATTCAGCAAATTTATATTTGTTGTGGATGCAAATGCAAGTGTGTGAAGATAACCCTAACTTATAATTTACAACCTAACCTGCAAGTTGCTTATATCTTCTTCTCGGACCAAGACACTGAGGAATTCACTCATCTGTGACCGAGACCACGCAATATAATAATAGAATATAATAATAAAGCAAATGATAAAGAAAAAAAAATGATTCATTGATAATTTGTTTCATTTTGTATGTGTATTGAAAGCTATTGCGGCTTTAAATGTTTCAAAAATGCTGGACCAGACGATCAGAGTTAGAAAAAATGAAGGTTGGAATCAAGAACCACCTTTTTTACAGTTCACAATTATCTGCTTCCACTCAACTATGAACGAGTACAGAACCATGTACAATAATTTATTCCAATTGTTGATTTGTTCGTGGAGATAATATTGTTTTCCCAAAATACTACAAAATTTTTAAATTACCACTATTTCAGTGGCCACCCTGCTTGCGCTTGTCACATGATGAAAGGGCCTATTGTGAGATTTTAACCAAATTATAAGACACTTCATCTAAAAAGCAATTGTATAGTGAAACATGTGCGGTTTTGTGAAAATCTCAAAATTTTATCAAATCCAAACAGATCAACCAAACCTTTTTTCAATAAATTTATAATGGTAACCATTATTGAAAATTATTTTACTCCTCCTCCATGATTTTTTTTCAATATGGTATATTTCTGAAGGCCATATATTCATAATACTTCAGTCTACATTTCAATTTTTTATCGATTTGTAATTAGTATCTCTAAAGTGATATATACTAGGTTCTTATGTTAGATTGCTTTTTAGTTATTGTTAAGATTTATAGTTTTTATTAAGCTATTTTGAGAAATTTTATACATTGTGATAAACACATTTCTATTCTTGATTATTAGGTGTATCATCGGAAAAATGTTATAACTTTTTCTTAATATCAAAGTTTTATTCAAATCAAAGCTTAATTGAAAACAATATTTGATTTTGTTTTCATTTCTTTGAGTTCGTCTGAATCATTAAGTCATTCCCAGTTATTTATAGTTTTTGATAATTTGTTTGGCAAAATATGGGTTTACACAAAAGTTATGTGTTCTACAATATTTTCAAGTTATTATTGTTTGATTCCTTATGGACATTTTTGTATCTTCCAAATATTTTTCATATCTCAATTTCTCCGAATATATTCATTTTTGTGTCATCGGCAGCTGCTGAATAACTTGGGCACTTAAGTTATATGCGAATAAAAGTAGAAATAATCAATTTTTGTTCTAACTCCTGCAAAAGTGATATCCTGTAAGAAAGATTCAATGCAACTTGAAGTAGTGTGATGTAGCAAATTAGTTTTTATATTTTATTTATATTTGTATTTCAGCTCTTGGAATTTCAAACTAAAATACTAACCAAAATTATTTATTTTTATATTTTTCAACATTACGAAAAACAGTATTCACTCAATTTCAAAAACACAACTAATATCACAATTTCAAATTATTAATTTTTATGACAATTTACACCCAGAACCAAGTGCCATTATATTTCATAGGTGAGAGACAATATGCTTCCAAACAAATATGAGACTTTATACATGCATTCTGAACTTTTGTATCCGTCCTTGTACTCTTGGAATAAAGTATTTATATATGTTTTGAAAATATGAGTTTGTATTATCTGTCCAATGGCACGCGTGCCATTGATGGCATGCGAAACAAAATTTTGGGCACGTCACCGATTACAAAATTCGTTATGAACAAAAAAAAAGTTTTGAATAAGCATTTTACAACGATCGAACGCGAGTGATCGATCCTAAGCTACGGAGTGTTCGGGTGCGGGGCAGGGCGGCAGGCAGGAAGTGCTGCGCGGCGCTCGTTTGTTTCTGTACTTTTGTGGGTTTCAATTGCTAATGAACCATTGTTTGATTACGCATAAGGTAGTAGTGAATTTCGTTGATATAATTGTATTTTAAAGTTTATTCGAGTTATTTTTATGATTTTTAAGTGATATTTAATATGGCCACTTCAGCAAAAAACAAAAAGTGCAAGATAGTAAGAGTATAAGAGAAATTCAAACTTGGTGGACTGAGAAATACGGCATGATTAGTAAAGGTGACAAAGCGGTGTGTGTTTTATGTTCTATAACAGTGGTATGTAACATGGTCTGTTAAACAACATTTTGAAACAAATCACAAATCTGTTAGTCAAAAAAGCGAAGCAGAGCAAAAAGAAATAATTGCAAGTGAATTGAAAGACATAAATAAACAGTCAACATACGCGGCTGCAAATGTCATTGCTCGATCACTTCATACACACACAAGAACAAAAATGAGTTCAAACCACCTCACCAAATCAATACCTGTTGAGAGTTGTTCTTGACCTGGTCAAATCTGATTGAAACCTGATCGAAACGTGTTCAAATCTGATCAAGACCTGATAGAAATGATATCTGTTTCGTAACAATGAAAAGTTAAAACAGAAAAATAGTTAAAAACAAATTAGAATCCTTGAAACATGGCGAGTTGCTATATGAAAGCAAGTTCATTTCAATTACAAAACACCTGAAAAATATAGAGAATAAAGATTTGTTGATTGCTTGGAAGAAATCAGACTTTCTGCAAAATATCTCGTAAATCTCATTCGCGCTTTTCAGGCTAAGCTGCAAGTTTTCCGGAACGATATTATCATAAGAAACTACAAGTATTTTCCAAACTTGAAAAAATATATCAACGATTTTGATATTCACGAGTATTATGTACCCTGATGTTACGTCATTTCATAAACTGAACTTCTCCCAATTCGATTGGTTGGAAATTGAAGAATTTAAAAAGCAGCTGATTTATTTTCCAATCTAGTTCAATATGGATTCAAAAATTTACTGAAACAAGGAAAGAATTCCAAATAATCAGAAAGTCAAAATTATTTGTGGCACGTCTATGACCTCATTAAACATTCTTCAGAAAAAATGGCACGTTGATGCATAAAGGTTCGCCTACCCGACAGGCTTTCAAGGCCAAAGTCACGATTAAAAAGTACAAAATCTAGACTGTAGACCATGGTCAAATAGAACCTGAAGTATCAAACTTTCGTCTGCTACTGTAGCAGACATAAATGGGGCGTTGACTTTGACGACCAAGGTGTGTATGTCCGCGAATGGACGAGTCAACATGTGCTACGTTTTCTTGGTGTGACAGAAGCCAACTAACAAAATAATTCACTCAGTTTCTCCTTGAGGAAGGCAATAAACCTGAATAACGTTCAACTATCTAACACAACCAAACGTCTAGTTATGTACTTGGATAAAACTTTATCTTGGGAGCCTCACATTGATTGTGTGCTAAAATTTGATCAGGCTATATTTGCAGTACGCCAGGTTAAATAAGTGCCCTACTTAGATTGTATCATGACGTTATATTATTCTTCGGCCTATTCCCACATGGCTCAAAATATACTAATGTGTGGTACTTCCATAGGCGCAAGACCTGTGTTGTTTTTACAAAAAAAATAATCAGAATCATATTCGATATTGAATTGAATGATAGGTGGTATTTGGCAACAGTGTTAGTTTTGAAAGTAACAGTGCAATCTCAAAAAAATGTATTTCGCCTTATGGGTCCAGGCATATAGGAAATAACAAGAACTCAATGATGCAAAATGTCACAAGTAATAGATGACTATGGACGATATCAAAATAAAATAAATAATAAATAAATAAAATAAAGTTGAATTCAGACATGGATCCATGAGAGCGCAAGGGATCTTAGAGGTCAAAAATATTTGTTAAGCAATTGATCCAGGCTTCACTGAAGATGGTCTGAAAATTGCAGAAAATGAAAGAAATGATCATAGCGCCAAAAAATCCATTTTGTATCTTATACTAAATAACAATTGCTTAGACAAAAATATAGAGTGCAAAACTGCAAAAAAAGTGTATGAGATGCTCAAACAAATAGATACAAAATATGATACCTGGCATGGATTGTCACTTCTTAGACTAGAGACTTTGTGAAAGTGAAAGAAAAGAAGGTCCAAGAATCCGTAAATTAATATTTGATGAAAAGAAGTGGATTGTATCACAAAGTGAAACATGCTGGATGTAGCAGAGAAAGAAAATCAAACAACAATACCCAGAGCAGCCTTTAGTGGCACAAACCAAACTCATTTCGATGAGTCTTGCTACCGATAAGGAAATGCGAATTGTTTTTTATACGAATGATGCAAACTATTGCAAAATATATAAAAACTGGAGGCTGAAAATCATTTTGTGAAATATGTACCGATCAACAAGTACCAGGATGAGTGTATTTATTTTTGATTTGTCAATTTTTACTAGTTCTGTACTTTTAATAAAATTCATTAGTTTTTCTTCTTGACTTCATCAGAACGACAATAGAAAAACTTATTGGAACTCTGTCATAACATAATAATAACCCTTTTTGCTAACTTAGTTAGTAACTCACGCATCGAAAGACAGCAATTTTGTCCTGGTGAAAAAAAAAATATTTACAATAGACAGGAGACTTTAATTTAGGATTTGTAGTTATGATTATATTTTTCCCTCATCAAGAGATAACTTCAAAAGTAGAGCATAAATGAGTTTCATACATGAAAGATGCACGAGTTCAATTTCATATGTCACAAAGTAATTCCAGAGAGAAAAAAATATGTAACAGTATTTACTTCAACTTCAATACATATTTCTAACTTATTAATATCATTCAATGAATTTTTCATTGATTTAACTCATATTTTAAAACCTATGTAAGTCACAAAAAGAAATTCTTCAGTCATTTTAAAAAATACACGTTCTTCACAGATCAAGTGTCCACATTTTTAAAACCATATTCTCTAGCTATTTTCATAGCAGCCTGGAACAACTGCATATTACTAATTCGTAAATCCCTATTTTCTCTCAACAAGTCGTTGCTGCTACAACTTGTTGATGAGGTTTCCTCATCGCTTAATACAATATCTTCAGTTTGAATTTTAGAAACTGTGAAGTTTCTTGATGAATTATTTGTGGCTTGAGGGTTTCAGTCGAAAAATTCTTGAAAGCCATCACAAACTTGATGTTTGTGATAACAGCTTTATGCTCAATTTTTTTTAGAATCTTTCCGCTCTTCATATCCCAAGTGATGACGAAATTATCTTCACTGCCAGAAGCTAAGACTGTTTGGGAAAGATTAACAGCCATGCACACTATCTTTTTCTGGTGACCCCTGAACAATACTCCTGATTTTTCATCGAAATGATATGACAGAGTTTTGGGTGGGTTGTTTAAATAAAATGCCTTGATATCTCCATGTTCTGTGCCTACAATCAACTGCAAACATGGATTGTCAAAAACTACACTAGTTAACTGATCTCCAAACACCAAGTTCAGCAGTAGTTCACCTTTTAGCAGACTGTAAATGAAACATGTTCCATCTTGTGATACAGTAGCAAATCGAGCCTTTCTGCCAAACTGACCTAAAAAGTAGATTATAATAAATTTAATTGGTTTCAGAACTGAAAGTTTTTTCTCTCTTCAAGGCTCATGCTAGTTTTTGATGATTTTCAATCAGAAATATGTATTTTGTTCAAGTGATCACAAATTTGCATTTGGTCTATTTTTGGAGAGACAAACAAATGTACAAAAGTTGACTACTTCAAGAACCCACTTCCGGAAAGTTTTTTATTCTGTAAAATGATGCAATTTTTCATGATCGCATGCTTTGAATCTTTATCCACTTGCTATTTTCAATTTTTCCATGCAAAACATTCAATTTCTTTGAATTATATCTTTTGCAGCAAATTATATAATGTTATAAACACAATTATTAGTGAAACTTCATCAGTATGTTAGCAGAGTGTGTCAGTTGGCAGTGTTTAAAAATGAATTTAATGTCATCAAATTTATATTGCTATCAAAAAGATAAGGAATGCCACCTTATTTTCTGTTAATTAGAATGTGCTGTCCACATTTGATTTAATTTTTGTAGTTTGTGTAGAATTCAATTTAAAAGAATGATGAATTTACATGTATTCATTTGCAGAAATGAATAAACAAGTTCGTTTTTTTTTCTTTACTTTCACCTTTAGCAACATTGCTGACAAATAAAAGAACTTTCCATGTCATTTGAAACATAATTTTAAAAATGGATTATTTTGATGAAATATAAATTTTTTATTCTGTGCAAACATTTTAAATAGGTGAAAGAAAGTATGCATGCAACACACGATCTTAAAAAGGTATTATGTTACAAGTTTTTTCATCAGAAATGGGTACATGGCATAGTCAATTTTTTGACAGTTTTGACTTTTCAGTGGCTGTATCTCCGAAAGTAGATTCATGATTGACAGAAAAAAATACGTAAATGTAATTACATTTTTTTTGAAAACTAACATGAGCCGAAAAAAACGTATTTAAGTTTTGAATACATCCGAGCTGTGCAGACATTCACTTTTTTCTAAATAAAATTCAAAAGTCACTATTGCTACAATGTTTCAACTCACCAACATGTATATCTGTAATCGACATGGAGTGATCATTTTTCTCATAACAAGGCTCAGCTTGTCCAATATCTGACTGAGAGAGAAAGTTGTTGGTAATCCTTATCATTTCGCTAAAATTATAAGTGATCAGTGATCCATTATTCCCTCCTATCAATAAGAAATATCCATCACTTGAAAACTTTATGCAAGTTATTGACTGATAACTCCCTTCCTGAAGTGACAATAACTTTCCAGATGACATGTGCCAAACATATATTTTTCGTTGGATTCCAACTGCCAAATAGACACTGCGAGGACAAATATCCATGCAAGTTGCTGGTTCTGGTAAGATGAGCCTGCAAAATAACAGATTAATAAACATTACTTTTATTATAGAAACTGAATTTAAATTTGTTAACAGATGCTGCTACTCTAATTATTGAGTACCTGAGATACAGAATAAGCAGTCAGATTAAAAAATCACATTGGTATTTCACAGAGATCAATACATGGACTGCAACTCTTTTTTTCCAGTTTATTTTCTACTTCATTTGGAACAAAGGCATATCTCAATCAAAGAACATAATATAAAAAAAGTAAGGTTGTACATGTGAAATACTAATGATATTAGATGATACTATCAAAATTCAACTATCGTTAGATGCTGTATAGTAACTTGGGTTGTAACGGAACTTGGCCTTCACCTATGCATGTTTTTGATTGAAGTTTAAATGAGTTTTGTTTGTGAATGAACATGCCAACCTGCACTGCAAAACTTTTGTGGAGTTTGATTAGTCAGTAATGGACACGTATTTCTGGATATTGGCCTCATCAGCGCGGTGCAGCCAAGTGTAAAGATGGGCAACAATTGTTTGCCGAAAGCAGGAAACAACACATACACACGGAGTCAACAACAGAAGCCAACCGCACATTTGTGGTTCCAGTTAGAAGACCTAGAATTCCCAGGCTACATCTAACATAACCACGTAGGCAGCTATAGCTACCTGTGTGACATCCGGGTCCAGGATATAAATTCAATTAGAGATTTTATAGAGTGTGCATGATACAAATCAAAAATGAAACAATTCGCGCGGAGTTGGCTTCTGATGAGGCCAGTAGCCAGAAACACGTGTCCGCGGTTTGCCCCCCCTTTTTTGGAGTGTTGTGTCCACTCAATGTCCAGTGAAACAGTGAACATAGTAAAATTTATGAAGCCTGATTTCAACAGCCCCACCAAAGTTAATAATATGTTTTCAACTCGTCATTCAATTTTTACGAATATGTTTTCAAAGAGATGATCTTACCTGATATTTTTAGCCAAGTCCTGACTATTCAAAGGCCAAACGTGCAAAAGCGGCTTTCCTTGTTCAGCAGTCAAAATATAATCTTGTCCTAATATACCCAAACACTTTGTATGTACTACACCTCCATTTCTGTAATATCTCTGAACATTAATGGTTTTGTAATCCCACAAACTAATGGAAAATTGTTGGGATGCTTCTGAGGAAGTTAACAAATACTCATTGGAAGTCATGTTATTTTATTTATTTATGTTATCTTTCTCTGGTCAAATATATTCAATTTATTTTTGTTGTGAATGCAAATGCAAATATGTGAAACGAGAACATAACCTTAACCTAAAACCTAACCTGCAACTTCCTTATTTCTTCTTCTCGGCCCGTGACTCTGAGGAATTTACGCATCTGTGACCAAGACCACGCAGTATAATACGAATAGAATAGTAAATTGAGTCTGAACGTTAAAATTTTTTGGTTTTCTTTATTTTTTTTGGTAAAGATAGATACAATAGTCAAAACTATTTTATTTGCAATGTTAAATGAAACCTAGAAATAAAAAATAACCCAAAGACGGCATACCCCTGCAATTAGAGCACTCTCAATTTTCAGAAGAAACCAAAGACATGCTTTGGTCGGTAATCAAAGAGTTTCCTGACGTTTTCAAGGAAACGTTTCGCCAACCCTAGACCAAGGCCGTGGTGCATGAAAGAGCGACCCTTCCGGCAATCTAGATATGGAAAAACAATTCGAGGCTTGAAAAGCAGTCGTCCATGATGAAATATCTAAACTGCTTGAAGCGGGTATAGTCGCTTGCAATACTTCACCCTACTGTTCGCCTGTAGTTTTGGTTCCCAAAAAATTTGGAAAACTATGGTTCTGTGTGGATTACCTACAAATAAACAATTTGATCATCACTGAAGCGACTTATTTGCCACCTATTCACGAAACAGTCCGGGAGATTGGCAGATCTCAGGAACGATTTTTGGCAGACCCCACTCGATGAAGAATGCAGGAAAATTCATAGCGTTTTCCATTAATAAAACTAAAGGACATTCAGTACATATACATCCTCGATTTTCAGTGTATATATATATATTCGAAATCGACATAGAAATATACTGAATTTGCCCTGGTTTTACAAAAGGAAAGTGCTACTACCCTTTCTGTAAGAATTCCGAATTCCACCAGGCGTCGCGGTCTTCCTTGTTTTGACAGTTTAGAGATTTGTTTTGAATTGTTTTATTATTATATCTTATTTTGGTTTATGTGATAATTCTGGAATTGATTCCTTTCCATGTTTTGAATTGCCACCAAAATATCTTGAAAATTATTGTGGCAATAACACTATGGCTACCGCAAAAATAGTCGAACTTGATGAAACTAATACATGCAAAATGTAAGTTTAGGATGGCATTTGATCATCATTTTTTAATGCAAAAATGTTTTTTAGCTGTGATAATGCTTTGGCAAAATATTCATGTCCTAAGTGTAACCTTTTGTATTGCTCTTTGAATTGTTACCAGTCCAATTCTCACTTGGAATGCAGTGAAAGTTTTTATAAAGATAATATTCTAACTGAACTCTCTCTGGATAAGAACGATGTAGAATCTCAGAAAAAAATGCTGGAAATACTTGAAGGAACCCACCGAAATAACCAAATAGCATTTAGTGAGGATGGTGATTCTGAAGAAGATTATCCAAATCTTAATTTCGAAGATATCCCAAATCTTGATTCTGATGACGATGAAATATATTTAGACATTGGGGATAGATTGGCTGGTGTTGATCTTGATGATGCTGAACAAGTTTGGGTTAAATTAACTGAAGATGAAAAACAGGAATTTGTTTCTTTCTTAAAGTAATAATTGAATATTTAAGTATAATTCATTAAGAGCTGTATAATATGTATAATTCTACCATTTCGAACAAATTCTAAAAAATTCAAATTTACTATAGCAAAGGTGTTTTTTCAACAAAATATATTGAGGGATCAAAAACCTACAAAGGCATTGGATTCTCACAGACAAAGTATGATGTGTTGTTTTCTCGGGTTTCGCTCTGTGTTCTGTAAATTTTCTCCTCACAAGGATTATTCTCACAATATTTCGGCAAAGTCTCATTTGCCATCTTCTGGTGACGTTTGGTGTTTTTCAACTAAACTAGAGTCTAGTTTCAACTAGAAACATGAGCGTAATCCTTATGAGGATAAAATACCCAGAACACAGAGCGAAGCCCGAGTTTGAAGTCTGAATTTAATGATATTCTAAGATTGAAGTCGAAATTTAATGATAATAATTTTGATAAAATCTGATTTCAATCTCAGAATTTTTGTTAAGTTAGGACTTTGAATTTGGAATTTTACTGATTTCTGTATATTATTCTGTTTGATAGCAAATCGCACATCCAGAAGGGAAAAGGGACAACTCATAATAGTGATGTTTTCAGGAAATCCCAGTTAAAAATTTATACTAAAAAAGTATAAAACTTAAATCAGGATTAACTGAAAACATTACTTTTTTGAGTTGTGCCTTTTCCATTCTGGATGTGCAAAATATACACACATTTTTCTTGGGAGTATTTAGTTTAATACTCATCCAAAAGTTTTTCAGACAATTAACATTGGATGATTTTAATAATTTTATGTCAACTCTTGTCATAAATGGAAAGAAATATGTAAAAGATGATATATAATTGAGGTATTTCTTAAATTTTGAAATAGCTTTTGGTATGGTTATTAATGAACTTTCATGGAAATTATCTTGAATGTTGACTAAAATCAACCCAAGTTTCTATATCCCGTAAAAATTGTTTTGGCATTCTACGAAGAAGTGCCTTAGGGCCAATGTATTTTTTATTTTTTCATAAATGGCCCTGTTACTATAAATTTACTCGAAGGTAATACCTTGTTGTTATGGACATTTTTGAAATAATTTTTGTTTGCCCGAAAATGAACAGTTTTTTTTTATATAACTCAATAGATTTGTATTGTTCAGTGTTGCACAACATTTTCATATATTCAATTTTTTGTAGGTATGAGCTATTAAAAATGATAGTCATTTAGCAATAAAATTTCTTGTTCCTGGTTAGCCAACACCCTAATGAAATGAGCATTCTTTTTATAGGAAATGTAATATCTCTGAACATTCATGGTTTTGTAATCCCACAAACAAATGGAAAATTGTTGGGATGCTTCTGAGGAAGTTAACAAATACTCATTGGAATTAACAATATGAACTAATCTAATTCTTGCAGGCAAGTAACACTCAACACAATACAATAGCCCAAGCTGAAAATGTTGAATGGCAAGGTCAAGGAGAATCAATGTATCGGCCTCACTTTTAATTACCTTAAAACTTTTCAAATCGTCAGCAAAAAGGAAAACTTCACTTTCATGGAAGCAGCGATATAGATCATTGATGAAAAGGTTGAACTTGAGTGGTCCCAAGTGTGATCCTTGGGGAACACTCGATGTAACTGCGATGGTATGAAAATAGTAATGATTAACCCAAGCAGTTTGCCCTTTTATCTGTAATATAGCTCTTGAACCACTGCAATACTAGGCCATCAGCTCCGTATTAACAAATTTTATGAATCAATAGCCCATGACTAACTTTGTCAAAAGCTTTGGAAAAATAAGTGTACATGGAGTCAACTTGTGAACCCTTTTCCATTGCATCAGACAAAAAGTCAACGTATGTAATCAGATCCAGTTCTGCTGACTTTTTGGATGTAAACCCGAATTGTGGGGTCCCTTTTATTGGGGAGCAGTCGTAGGTAAGGAAGTCAGAAATGATGCTCTCAAAAACTTTAGGAATTACGCTAAGAATAGAAATGGGACGATAATTACTCACGTCAGTAGTTTATTCAACTCACGGGAATGCCAGCATGGAAATCTCTTCTAACAAATTTTTTTGCGGAACAAAGCGATCAATGATGGAATAAAGAATGTCATAAAATATAGAAACCATATCAGAAGGCTCTTTTCTGTGTAGTGCACTATCCCAATCGATTGCTTCGAGAGACAAACGTATTGCTGCATAGTCAGCGAGAAGGAAGTCAAAGTAATACTCTTCACTAGATGAATATTCATTTGCGATTTGGATGGGCAAAGATGAGATCAGGGATAACTCCTGTATCGTTGATTATTTTATTGTTCTGGGAAAGATGATGAAAGCACAGATGTTGGATATCGTTTCGATACAATCGATCTCAGATTGGGTAGCTGAAGGCAGAGACAAAGCAACAGAGCAGTAATCACCTACATCCCATTATGCTGAAGGAAGATTAAAAGCACCAAATAGGGAAAGGTTTGCACTAGCATATTGCTCACTTTTGGAGATTAGCTGATCAAAGTAAGATTGATATAAAGTATAAAGATTTGGATGGGAAATACACACACAAAATAAACAGAATTTACTATTTTGCTCTAGTTGGTTTCTGATCCCTACCATATATTTTAAAAAGTACATGCCAATCCCATTCTCATTTTTTCTCTATAAATTTTATATATCCAACTAATTTGAAACAACTCACTTTCAGGTCGGAGGATGTTACAAAATTAATACCACCTTGGCAACCATGGTGGCTATACTACGCCGACACTAAAGTTGAAGATATGTCCCTGAAAGAGACTTATAAAAATAAATGTCCTGTAATTTGTGATATAAACAGTTTTTCACAAATGAAGGTAACTTACGGAATTACAGTATAATTTTTATATATGTATTGAATTTAAGTTATTGAAAAAATATCCATTCAAAAAAGTAAAAATCAACTAGGTACTAACTGAATTTATGCCAAGATATTTAGATATATTTACCAATCTCAAGATATTACATATAGATTCTTCTAATACTTGATTGGTATGATAGATTTACCTAAGTCTTCAACATTGTCATTTCTTGATAGCCTCAAGTCATTCAGAGCGGAATGTGCAGCTCTAAAATCGTACCTCATTGAGGTTGTTGGTTATTTAGAGTGCAAGATTTTCACCTTTATGCCCGCAGCTATCTTCCTATAGTAAGGCGTATTGTTGCTTCTCCTGGTTCAGCTTCTTTGGTGCAAGGTAGGTTCATTACGCATTTTGCTCTTGAGGAGGCGATAAGTCGTTTCCTGACTGCACCAACTAACAACCTACGTTTGTTCAAGAGTTGGAGAACTGAGAAGCATATTGCAGGAAGGAAAGATGGGGTTGTTAGATCAACCCCCATTTCCTATGTTAATTCAACTCGAAAGCTGAGAACTGTTTTAATCTTTTGTTACAAACAAGGGATTGTTTAGGCGAAGTCCATCTGTAGACTCAGGTTCAGGATTTTGGTAACTCATGGTCTATACAGAGTATCACAAGTAGCTAGAGAAGGAAAGTCCATCACGACAGCAAGCAGGACCCCGTAATAAGGTGACAAAGCTTTTTACGACAAGAAGACGCCTGATATCTCAAAGGTCCTTTTTTCAGCTCAAACAATAGTTCAGCACCTGTTTGAAGTGTTTTCAAACATTGTGCAGAATATCGGGTGTTATTTGCTGGCTTTCATTAGTGATGCGATTCAAGTGGGGGTTGCATATATTTTCGATTTCAGGTGTCCCCACAAAAATAAATCAGGAGAAGATGCATTTGGTGATCTCGTGGATCATTTGATCGCATCCCTCCCAATCCATTTACCAGGAAACGTTTCATCCAAAAATTGCCATACAGGTAATGCTAACGGTCAAAAGCTGATATTGCTGAAGTGATTTATGTTTCTATATTTTCGATCTGCTCTAACAAGTATGGTTATCTTCATTTAAATTTCCTGGTGAGAAAAATTGTCCAAAAGTCTTTCTTTATGTCTAACAACATCAAAGTAAATCTTTAAGATTGGGTCAGACCAGTAACGAGAATTATGTTGATTGACAGTACCATTGAAAAAAATTTACATTCGTCAGGAGTAAACAATAAAAAGGTGTTTTTTTTATTTTCGCATACAAAGCCTTAGACTATATTATTTCAAAAGAAATAAGGGATTTTCACATTTCCACTTGTTACATTTAAAGTGAGGTTTGAATTAATTATAGGTCTTTACCAATACAGAAATTCGTATAGCTGAAATCCATGGTGTACAAATTAGAAAATGTGATGATGAAAATATATCAAAAGTTGTAACCAAGATAATCCTCGGCCTAATGAAAACTATTCTTTTTTTTGCAGTTTTGTTGTGTTCAAAACTATCCAACTAAGCTTTTCCGTTATTAGACTACTATAACATTTTTGATTGTTTCAGTCAATTATGAACTGCTCGATAATTCTGAAGATGGGTGTGATAATTTTTCATGAGAAGATTTATGAGTTATTTTTACAATATAATGGACATATCAAAATGCTTGCAATCCCATAATTTTCAAAATTTTACTTTTGAGAAAACTTTCTTATATATTAATTTAAAATAAAATACCTCAACCTAAGGTCTAGGGATTTTATAAAAAACCATGGATTCACACAAAATTCAATGCATAGATACCTAAGGTAGTTTACTGGTAGAGTAAGTCGAGACTAGTAAAAGTATTTCCTGTGTAGCAATTATTTGAAAGTCATGAACATAAGACAATTTATAACTCTTCAGGTTTCTTGTCATTAAGTATCACTACATAAGAACTCACATCTAGACATGCATGTATAGTTGAATGTAAAGGATAGCTCAACATAAAATCCACACATATAACTTAAATAATAATTGATGAAACATTATTGATTTGTAAAATATTATGTTTCGAAGTTTAATTAATTAACCAATAATTTTATTTGACTTTTTACCTGATTTATTCAACTATTACACTTTCTAATGGAATTTGTTGTAAATACACTTGGTTGTTTTCAGACAAAGACCCCTGCTGATTGCGTTAAATATAACCTCATAAACATAATAGCAGCTTACGCTTTCACAGCAAGGTACTTCAATGGTGAACATTTTGATTTCTCGAAGGAGGCTGTGAGTTGTATGGTAAATATTTCCCTAACTTTAAAATCTTCGCAAAACTTTGAGGACTTTGAAACAGCTGTGAAGTCGGTAGAACAAGAATGTATAAATGTAAGTAAGATCTAGTGTTTTTCTCTGCATTCCTTACAAAATACAATTTACAGAGTGACTGGATTGTAAGCGATTCTGAAAACATATTAACTATGCGTGACGACTTGGAAAAAATCATCAATGGACCAAAGAAGACAGATTCCAAATATTATCTCCTTTGTGCCCTATCAGACATTCTTCACTTATTGGAGAAAGCTGTAAAACCTACGGAGGCAAGTAACTCCAAAGTTTTCACCAAACAGTTCCCCAATGATCATTTCCCTGATGTTAAATTGGAAGATGCAAAAAGTATTAAGAGTCACTCAAAAAAAATTGAATATTTCTTGTCATATGCAAAGGATTGTTTTACATTTCCCTAGACCGATGTTTCATATTTCAACACATTTGAACTTTTGTGTTTTTGTACATCTTCAATAAATGATATATATTTTGCAAACATTTATTTCAACCATTTGTCGAAGAACTTCTCTTCTTTTCTGAAACAATTACGGGTTCTCTGAAAGATATTCATTCATATAATAGGCAAACAAAATGTAACAAAGGCATACTGAACCCCAGGTTTGGATAACACCTAAGCGCATATCTAGTTAGGAACTACCGTGGAGGATGAACGAACAGGTATTAAGTTATAAATCTAGTGGAAAACTGATATAACTTCATAGGACTTCTTGGTCCGAGTTCTTTTGAGTTTGTTACTAAACGGACTCTGTGGCTTGTTACCAAATGCTGGTAGTTGAAAATATTCTTGTCTGATAGAAGCTCAATTGGACTCGACTCGACACATTTTCAGCGAGCTGATTTTTGAGAGGATGTGTCACAGGCGACAAACAAAGCTCTGTGAAAGTAGCTAAAAGGAACAATGAAAAATAAAATATGTTACTCAGTTACTCCTTAGTTATCCAACCAGAAGTAATTGAAAACGATTATTTTCTTTTCTACAGCATAAAAGTCACTGGTGTTATTTTTGTCTAGCAAGGTTATAAAAGCTGATGCTAAATATAATAGAACATTTATCATCCAGCTACACGTTAACCCTAGTAGACTCGTGCAAAATATAATTTAACTTATCTTCACCGGTCAGCAAAAACCCTTTCTACACACCAGACTCAAATGACACTTTTGATCATCGCCTAATGATGTGTTGGGTTTTGTGGGAAAAATTATTTTATTGAATTTGTTCTTGCCGGATGTTCTAATTCTGCCTTTTTTTAAAGACAAAATACTAGCACTACAGGAAAATCCTTAAGGTGATCTTATAGCGGTGCCTGTGGAAAGTAGTGATTCACATTGGATTCAAATCGCTGGAGATTAAATCCATTTGGAAAAAAGTCCTGAGGAAGTTTATTTCACATAAACGCCGTTCTCCAAATGAAAGAGTTCTTAAACAGTGAAGTTCAAGGTGTACTGAGTTGAACCTCAACACGATGAGCAGCCACAGTCCGTCGCGTATTTCTGATATGTACCGCTCTCGGTGGAATCAAATGTGTCAAGTCACTTGAACACTTCCCGTGAAAGTATATATAGAAGAGAGATAAATCTCCAACCTATCTTCGATGCTCCAGACTATCAAGGTTGCAAGTGATGTTATTGTCTCCATTCAGGCGGAATTATCTAACCTGTCATTATTATATCTGGTTCGGAGACATTTATCTTCTTGGAGAAAATCGATGCCTGGGTTTTTATGGCATTGAATTGAACCTGGTTACTTTCACCCCAATTTGAAATCACTTCTAGATCCTCATTAAGATATGCACCCTCCTGCTGCCGGTGAAGATGTGCCTCCGTAGTCGATGTCCCGGAATTCAAATGAAATGGCGAGACAAATGTGCTGTCGTCAGCAAAGCAATATATTGGATTCTTGTTTTTTCCAATAAATCAGTGATATACAATGAAAAGAGGGTTGGAGACGATATGGATCCCTGGGGAACACCAACGTTGATGGTGAAACTATTCGAGAGATATCCATCGACGGCCACTTGCAGGGAACTTTGTTTCAGGAAGCTGAAGAGCCACAAAAATGGTTTGACAAGCCATAGCATCGAATTTTGGCCAGCTAACCCTCATGCAACACACGGTCAAAAGCCTTAAAAATATCAAGCGCAACAGCTCTTGACTCTCCATGTTTCTCGATTGCTTCATTCCAAATATGAGTGACATACGATAGAAGGTCGCTTGATGATCTTTGTTTCCGAAAGCCATAGTGATGATCGCTCAAGATGTTGAGGCCTTTCAGTACCTACACATGCACACTGCTCTGGCAGTGTACATTGTTTTATCTTTTCAATCACCCATTTGTGTTTTTATTTTCAGCTGTTTTAATCACATTCGAATGTTTTACTGTTATTGTTTTCATTTTTATTCTAGAGCTACTCTTTTAAACAGTGTGAATTAAATCAGCACTTTGAAATTTTCAAGTTTCAGTAATAATCATGGTTTCTCACAGGGAAGCTTTTGTAAGGATCTTTTTATTTGCAATTATATGACTATAAAATATATTGATACTATATAACTGAACAGCAGTTTACTGTTATCGTTAGGCATTTATAGGTACAGTAGAATGGGTCAGGAATAGTTCTTTGTGTCTCCCCACACCTGATACTTTAGGAAAAGGTATATTTGACTTGCCGTGAAACTATTTATGTGCTTCATTAGAGTTATATCAAAACCAGTTGGCTATAACATTTTTATATGAAGCTCTGTACAATAAAATAGATAATTTTGAGTTCTTCGACAAAGATCATGAAGAGAATCATATACCAACCAGGAGAATTCGAGGAGAATTTGAGAAATTACAGAGTGTATAAACAAGATTTCAACAACGCCAATAATCTTATGGAAAACACTCACAATTTCACACAAAATCCGGAAATTCGCTGATTGCGTTAAATATAACCTCATAAACATAATAGCAGCTTACGCTTTCACAGCAAGGTACTCAGAATTTACTATTTTGCTCTAGTTGGTTTCTGATCCCTACCATATATTTTAAAAAGTACATGCCAATCCCATTCTCATTTTTTCTCTATAAATTTTTATTGATATTACTGGACTACAGTAAAGCATTCGACTCATTGAATCCAGAAATACTTATATCTATGCTCAATTACATTGGATTCTCTAAAACAGCCGTTAAGATGATGCAAGAATACTTCACAAATACTTTATCAAATGGTGAAACTCGAAGGCGAACTATCTGAATCGGTGCTATTAATGCGCGGTGTTCTGCAAGGATCTATACTTGCGTCCTTGCTTTTTAGTTTATATACCTCCAATATACTGACTAAGATAAATCTCTGTAAGTATAATGCTTACGCTGATGATACACAACTTTATGTTTCGTTTAAACCAGGATTGCTGAATGAAGTTGTTGCTGACATCAATAGGTAGATACCTACTGAACTTCAAAACATTTATGATTCTTCTATATGAAACATGAACTTTAACTCAACGCAGGTTATTATGTTTGGTCCCAAGTTATTATGCCAAAGAAATTTACCTCAAATAAATATCTCTCTGAATGGTATAACCCTAAATATAGTACCGGAGGTAACATATCTTGGCTTGATATTGGATAATAATTTCAAGTTCAAAAAGCAAGTCTCATATATCCAGAGAGCTTACGCGAACATAAGATTAATTTATCCTCACCGAGCATACCTAAATACTCAGACAAAAATCAATTTATGCCAGACTCTTATCCTTTCACAGTTCACCTACTGTTCACCTGTATATTATCCCTGTTTGGATAGTCTAGATTTATTCAGGATACAAATAGTCCAAAATTCCTGTTTACGCTACATCTATGGCATCCGTAAGTTCCAGCATATCTCTCATAAGCTTCCTCAGTCGCAATGGCTGTCAATGAATAATCGTTTCTTATTGCAATCTCTAACCCTATTTCACAATATAATCATCAACAAATCACCGCAGTATCTTTATGATAAAGTTCGATTTCGTGAAAATGAACATAAAGTGAATATCCGACACAAAAATGCAATAACTGCCCCCCCACCACAGCACAGTACTGTTCGAGAGATCGTTCAGTTTTTCTATCTACACTCATTACAATAGTCTTCCCACACATCTAAAAAAATTAATATTACCACTTTTCAAGTTTCTGGCTCGTAACTGGCTATATGAAAAACAGCTATACGCGAATCGCGTATAGAAATTGAAATATTTGTGAAAATTGTGTAATAATTATCAAGTATGGTATATAAAAAATTTTATCCTACTAAAATTGCAATATCTATCACTTTTCCATCACCAGAATATCGCGTTTCGCTAACCAATTTAGCATCATCAGGAGATGACTAAGACTGTTCTGGCGAGGAAACTTTGTTTTCAATAAAACTATTGTTTATCTAACAAAATGCAAAATGTAATTCGCCGGCATTTATCTCGATATGCTCGAAAGAAATAATAAATGGTTACCTATATCTTTCGTCCTTCAATGTTCTAATTAAACAATTACAGAAATATTATCAATATAGGTTCCAAGCGGATTGAACGGATATATGCTATCCATAGTTCACTCTGCTCTTTGAGAAACTGCGGTGAAAAAAGTCGAATAGGGCTCATCTATTCGAAAAAAATAGAGATAAAAAGCTTTCAAAATCTTTCAAAAATAGTTTCTCCAAGAGTCCTGAAAAATCTTTGTTCCGGGGCTGTTCTGAAACATTTCAGTGAAATTAGTAAAATTAGATTTTTCTAATTTATGAAAATGAAAACTATAATGCGGATTTTAATTCGACTGGAATTCAATTAGGCATCCTTCATTACAGTGATAAATGGCATTAGGTCAGTTGGTTTGCCAAAGTTCTATTGTGTCTCAACTGCCGCATTGAAGCTATTTTTAAACAATAAATTCTGCTCAAGAATTTAGTTCAGTCTTATTCAATACATTGAATCAATCAATACTTGAAATCAGGGCCCAGATAGTCAATTGAAGAATATCTACCATGTCCGAAATAAAAGAATTTGAAAGTGTTGAAAGTGCTTTGAAACAGCTTCCAAAAGAAGACTATGATAAAGTTAGTAAAATTATCTTCGGAAATGAGATGCAGTAAGTAATTTTGAAAATCAGCAGAGAGCAATAAGACATTTGATGCGAGTCCGTTTTTTCAGTAATATTGAAGTATCGGAGGAATCTAAAGAACTCGCTTCGAAGTACAATATTGAATTGGTCACATGCGGATTTAACTGCAGAGAAGAGCAGTTGCGGAGTCCTAAGATAGTAAGAGTTGGGCTCTTTCAACATAAATTAGTACCATTTCCAACATCAACTCCCATTCAAGAGATGAAATATGCTCTTTTCAAATTTGCTAATAAAGCTGTAAGAATTGCTGCCAGGGGAGGAGTTAATATTTTCTGCTTTCCCGAAACGTGGAGTTAGTACATATATTTAGTTCAATATTTAATCATAGAACAGTGACAGTGACTGCATATTTGAATTAATACCAATCCTAAAATATTAGTATCGATTTAAATTTTATCCAGAGTATATGAGACATATTAGAAAGTTGTTGAATATAAAGTACACAGTTATATATTTTCTATACGCATTAATTTTAATCTTCACACTTCTTTACAAAACTTTCATTTCTCCTATTTTTAAAAATTTGAGAAATGTCTACCGGAAAACAACTACTTCTCTGACTAATACAACGACGGATATTGAATTCTGTCCTAGAGATATTTTTGTAAGTTTTCTTACAAATACCATTCTCGCAGATGTTTCTCGTCGTACAGCAGAATCTCGCTGGAATCAATCGAGTGTCAGAGCAGTTCCCAAAATCGAAAAATAATTGAGTATTTGTAGTAGCAGACAGAGAAGTAGCTCTTCTCCAGTAGACATCATATAGTGTAGAAAACTCTTTTAGATTTTGGTTTTCATAGCACCGGATATAAAAAAATATGTGAAAATGAAAACGGAAAGTTTGGATTCAAAATTCATGTACCGTTTCCAATAAGCAAATGTTTTCCACTCCATCTAAGAGAGTATCTCATTCCGGAATTTCTTCTTCACTTTGAATTTCATGTACAATCTTCAATTATGTAACTGATAAAAGAGCCAATCTTTACCCTACTTCCACAATGATCGAGCATTGTATTGATAACTATTTTAAAGAGAACCTGAAAAATGGGAATTGCCTCTTTCACTTTCACAGTACAAATTTAGACTTTCAAGGATACGAAAAGACTATGCTCAAGTTTACGAAAGAAAAGTTCATCTGAGCAGGGCCGGAGTGAAAGGAAAAACCAGGGGCGGGAGGAAATCCAAATTTTCCCAACCCCACCAGCAAAATTTCCCAACTTTCGAAAAAATGGAAGGCAAGGGATTAGTTACTACTATAATATATTAATTTTCTTACCTAGCTATCCAAAGATTGGCTGAATGCTTATATGCCCGTTAGGGTATGCACAAACAAAAATAAATTTTGGTAATTATAAAAATAATAATGGAAATTATTCTACTTTGGACCAAGGTCCTTGTTCTTCCGCCATATCCACCATTCATAGGAATATTCAATACAAATGAAAGGAAACAACACTTAAATAATATTGTACTTATTGTTTTCTACTATTATTTTTTCTATGTTCATATACAGAAATTTCCCAACTTTTCCAATTCGAAAAAACAGCTAAAAGTTGGGAATTTTGTAAAATTGTCACTTTTGTCACAATTTGTGGACTGTTCAGGACCGTTCTCTTACTTGGAAGAAATTGAACTTTTTTGAAGTTTTCAAACAACTCAGAATTTCAAAGTATGGGATCTCCAAGTTATGCATGTTGGGAAATCCCAACCTTCTCCTGGTTCTTTTCCTTTTTTTATCACCTCTTCCTTTCTTTTCTCTCATTTTTATTATTTTAATGTTTTTTCATTTTTTTACTATTATTTTTTTCTATCTTCACGGCCCAAAATTTCCCAACTTTTTCCCAAGTCGAAAAAGCAGGGGGGCTTCTCCCGTCTCCCCAATGGCGACGGCCCTGCATCTGAGTGCAAAGTAGAAGATAACAATGTTATTAATAATTCTGTTAAAATCTGTTTTTCCGTTCCAGCTGTCGCCTTCCTACGAACGACAACTTTCAAAAGCCGTAACTTGTGCTAGCTAAGGACTAACGAGGTCTTACCTTTCATCGTGTGATTCCTAACACGGGTCAGACGATGGGAAGTGAAAATCGATCGTTCGGCCTTGCGGTTCGAACCACCGGTTCGCACAGCGGTTGTTTGAATTTGTCGTGCAACCACCTACGTCAACCCACCAGGCTACCGTCCTACCGGCAACCCATGGAAAAAATCCAGAAAACCGCTGAACTATTCAATGAAATCAGACACGGGACGGTGGCCCGTTGGGTTGACCGTCGGGTGAAACAGTGGTTCAAGCTTCGAAGTCGACCGATCGATTTGCACTGCCTGTCTCCAAACCATGATAGTAATCGCACTTTGGAAGTAAGACCTCGCAAATCTTCAGCTCGCACAAGTTTCGACTTAAAACGGTTGTCGTTCTTAAGGGGGCGACAGCTGGTTAACGATTCATTTGGAAGATCAGAGAACAACTGGAAGGAATTCCTCAATGAATGGGAAACGTCTGTTTATCGAAAACTACCCCACCAGTAATTTTGAATCCAAACCATCCATCTAAGAATATTTTTGCATTTATACTTCAAGGAATCGGTTGGTTCTCAATTTTTTTGTTTTTTTAGATATGCCCTATGCCTTTTGTACCAGAGAAAAGAATCCTTGGTGTGAATACGCTGAAAATGCTCAGTTTGGCCCTACCACAAAAATGCTGGAAGAGGTATCGTGACTTGTTATGATAATTTGACAGCAACATGTAGTTTCCTCATTTCAGTTAGCTCAAATACATAATATGGTTATCATTTCACCAATTCTCGAACGTGACGAGGTTCACAACGATTCAATATGGAACACGGCGGTTGTCATAGATAACCACGGTGAATATCTGGGTAAACATCGAAAGAATCACATCCCTAAAGCAGGAGATTTCAATGAATCGATTTATTATTCTGAGGGAAATACTGGACATCCTGTCTTCGAGGTAGGTAATTAATGGCAATAAAGACCTATAGTCCATTCGGTATTATCTGAGAGTGAAAGAATTTCAAGAATACAAACATGCCGGTACATCAAAGACAGAAACATAGTCGTCTGAAGCAGGTGGCACTGCAATTCATACACAAAGTCACTGAGATATTTCTACCCGCTATGCCCCTTGAGGACGCCGCTAACGAGCCAATAAAATAGAGAGTTGCGACAAACGACATCAAAAAAGGCGGCTGACGGTTTTTCTCAAATTGCGTTAAAGTTATTATTAATAGGAGTCGGACTGGGGGGGAGGGGGTATTAATATAAATTTTACAATGATATATTCTGTATGATGCGAAGATAATTGAAATATCGTGAAAACTAATTTTGTTTAAATATGTTATTTTGGAAAGGACAACTCAAATTTGAAATAGTTTTTTATTTAGGATTGTTACCTTCTACAGATCTATAAAATAATGAGAATATTAAATTTAAAAATAAATACAAATGTAGGAAAGGCAAAAAATTACTACATTTGATAAATAAACTTTTTGAAAGAAAAAAATCTAATTTGTTAGTAACTCATATAATTTTGCATATAAAATTAATATGTATCATCTGGTGACGTTTTAAAGATTACCCATTTTTTATCCATAATTTGTAGTTATAATTCGTCTAATGATGCATAAATCAATTTGATATAATTATTATTGACACTGATAATATATTGATTTTAGGTTTCAAAAAGGAGATGAATAAAGTCCTCGAAACGTCAGAAGTTAATTATACAAACAGAATATGTTTCTTATTTTCGGGTTGAACCGCGCTCAAAGTTTTGTCTTGTTCGACGTTTCGGCTTCGACTTTGAGACACACTTTAAGGTTTTGATGTTCTGGTCTTGCCAAACCTTCGAGACNAACATTTTCATTTAAATTACATGCTGTGATGGGCCATATTGATCTATATTAAATGCACAATATATTTGAGGTACTTAACTGGATAAGTATTGATGCTGTAGTACTTAAAATAGCTTCATAATAAAGTAAAGGATAAAAAATGGTTATTGTGGATATACATATACCATCGCGGACTTTTTTGTAGACCTTTTAAATGTGTACAATACGTACATTGTTTTGATATATCTCGTATGGGTTCAGCCAGCGTTTGCAATGTAAGCGCAAAAAATGTGTTTATTTACATCACATTAGAAACCTCTAAAACTTATTAAAAATACCCGCATCAAAATCCGTTGCGTAGTTTTGAGATCTAAGCATACATAGGGACAGACAGCGGGAAACGACTCTGTTTTATACTATGTAGTGATTTCACATATAGTCAGTGGGCATACTTGAAGAGTGGACGGATATAATACAACGCCCTTCGTGGTATTAGCCAGGGGAATAGTTGCTTTCTGATGAGTGTCAGTCCTACAGTGTAGGGAGTTGAGGCTGACCTGAACGAATTGTTCCTTTAGATGATTTTATTCATAAAAAAGTTTTATTTCCTCATACGAGGAATTGGTCAAATTTCAGATATGCTGTTGGTTACTTCGTTCACAGGCAGATGGGGCGATGACAAAACTGTTGCTTGTTGTCCGCTTCAGCCTAGTTCGAGAAATGATACTCTGAAGGAATTCGATTTTCAATTATCGGAAATCATAGACTTTCGTTTGATGATAGACACTACCTTACACTGATGAGTGACCAAACAGCCCGAAACCGTTCTGCAAGTGTGTTACATTAATTGAAATTCGATTCCAGCAGTTGTATCGCCAACATCATATGCAGGAAATACTTCAGTGAATATTCCTGCACTGACACCTGTCGGATATAATCCAACGCCCTTCGTGGTATTAGCCAGGAAAATAGTTGTTTTCTGATAGGTGCCAGTCCATTAACCTACAGTGTAGAAAGTTGAAACTGGCCTGAACGAATTGTTCCTTTGGATGATTTGATGTAGTGATTTACTTTTTGAACTCTGGCCCTACATATTTTAGGCTGAAGTAATATAAATACTTCACTGGTTCACTTGCTTCTTTAGTTGTTATTTTATCCATCCTGCCTTTAAATGAACTAACTATCCTCTATATCTAATTCAAAAAATTATTTATAGGTATAGGTTTCTCCTCCCGATACCATCGTATGACTGGTTTCTCATAAGTAACAAACTCATGCATGTGGTTATGTCTGTTTAAAAAAAAATCTGTTTTTGTTAATCAGTTGTCGCCCCCATACGAACGACAACTCTCAGAAGTTGAGAAACTTGTGTGAGCTACGGACTAACGAGGTCTTACCTTTTAACGTGTGATTCCTAACACGATAACTTTCTGAAATTCACCATAAATTGATCACTGAAACGTGTAGGGGTAGGTGTTTAGGTGAGTTTGATACGCATATAAATCGCTAGTGTAATAAGAATTTTTTTTTTCATTATTCAGGTGATCTGGAAATAATAATTTTTCATTTACTTAAGTTTCACTGAATGCAAGTAATAGGAAAAGATAATCGACCACCTAGCGATACACAATATAGGGCACTATTCTCTTCACTTGCAAACACCAGTGACTTTCTGTAAATCAACCATCCCAGTGCCGAAATTTATATATTCAGTGACTTAAATGTTCATAATATCGAATGGCTCAAATTTTCAAATATCAACGACGAACAAGGTTGCGAAGCTGAGGCTTTTGCAATAAGCAGCGGATTTACTCCTCAGATCATAAATGAGCCAACCAGGATTCCTGACCGTGATGGAGAATATGCTAGTCTTCTGGATATATACCTAACTTCTTCATAAGATACTTTGACTGAACCACATGGCCTGAATCCAAAAATGTATTTTCTTGGCTATAAGCCTATTTTGTTTTATATAATTTAAATATTACAATGTACAATTCACTTATCTTGATACTTCCTGTTGCCTGACAAGTGAGCACTGATGATGACGAAAGTCGAGAGCGCTTTGCAAGAATTTTAAAATATTATACACTTTAATACAAAACCTCTTCGATTCATTAATTCAAATAAGTGTATTCAGCTTTTCCAAATCCTTTCCTTTTATATACCTAACAATCAATCCAGAAATTTACACAATCACCATAAGGTCTCCATTGGGATCTTCTGACCACAAACTCTTTCAGTGTTGAGAGAATTACCAATGAATGTTGGGGCACAATCTAAGCCGCACCCAGTTTGGCATTACAGAACAGCTGAATGGGAGGATATTCAAGATCATTTCTGAAATTTCCCCTTGCTAGATGTTTGTTTCAGCTCTAAAGATCCATCAACTTGTGCTTCTGAAGTCACGGAAGTTATTCTATCATCCATGGATGCACATATTCCTTTTTTAGTGAAACGATCTTCTAACGGCAAACCTTGGTTCAACAAAAATTGCGAGCAAGCTATCGCCCCCAAAAATCTCGCCTACCGGCAGTGGCGCAAAAATCCCAGTGCTGAAAACCGAAATAGGTTTGTCAATGCTCGCAACAGCTGCAAACTTAGGATAAATGAAACCAAATAACTTCACAATCACAGAATTAGGGATAAACTGCTTGCCAATCCCAACGGGTCTAGATTCTTTTGGTCGGTAGCTAAAGATGTTAATCAGAACTTTACAAAATTCACAATTCCACCACTAATACAAGCGGATGGTTCAATTGCAACAGCAGCCATAGAAAAAACAAATCTACTAGTTGAACAATTTGCGTCTCACAATTTGCGAAAAGCACCATACACTATTCCCACACTAGAATCCACAATGCCGGAAATTACTTTTAGACAGCGTCTGGTCAGGAGAATTTTTAAACAGATCAATATCAACAAGGCGTCTGGTCCTGATGAAGTGTCCGCACCAGTATTTTGCAGACTTTTCAACCTGTCTTACAAGAAAGAGTTTTTTTTTTCTTCTTGTTGGAAGATTGCTCGCGTTCAGCCTATTCCCAAAAAAGGCAAGAAAAACCTTCCAAATAACTATAGACCAGTAGCTCTGCTATCAGTGATATAAAAAATCATGGAAAAAGTCGTAAACCACCATATCCATAAATATTTGGAAGGCTTCAACATCTTGAGTTATATTATATGTCGAGAGGATCGATAGATACGGCTATACAAGATTGTTTCTAGAAATTTGTCAAAGTTGTTGAGGATTGAGGTAGGTCTGTGATTGTTGATTTCATTTGAATCTTGAGCTTCATTTGAATCTTTAGTAGTTTTCCAGACTTCAAGATAAAAAGACGTTCTTAAAATTTAAAATAAGGTTGGAAAGAATTTGTGATGACTTAAATCAATGAATTACTTGCGTTATTTACTACGAACGGTTTAGGGCAGTAACCTCTTTTTCAACAAAATATATTGTAGAGCTGAACTTAATGGATAAAACGTTTATTTTAAGATGATAATAATGGCGGCCATCTTGTTTTCTGTCTTTTTGAGTGTTTTTCCTTTCAAATGCTTCATTTGATATCCATATCATGGTGATACATGAAAAAAATAACCCACTGTCTTTGGAAGTCCGCCATATTAGACTCACAGTGAAGGTCATTTTATTCTTCGCATTCTTTTCAGAAAACCATCTTATTTTGTTGGAGATGACGACAAGAAAACAAATTCCCTGCATACCCTGTATTAATGTTTTGGTATTTGACATTAAAAAAATGAATTATTAGTTAAATAGGATAAAACCAAAATAAGCAATTTCTCCAATTACCAGAAATGAAATACAATGATTGGGATTGGGAAAAGTGCTGGTTTTGGATTGATGTATTCTGAATAAAAGTGTGATTGAATCCAAAAGTAGTAAACAGTTATTTGGAGTTGAAGAAGTAACATCTGCTAACACATGTGATACTTTTATCATGGGGATGCATAAAAAAATACTAGTCGGCCATCTGGGGCGGTTCGCCACTTTGGATTTGCAATAAAGTCACATTTTATGTTTCGTTTATTTGATATCCTTATCATCGGGGTTAGTATTGAAATGATAAATCACTATTTTAAACGGCCGCCATAATGGATTTATGACGGAATTTAGGTAATCAGACATTGACTATACCTTAAACACAGGGTGGCCCGTATTCCCTTCACAGTAATATGTTGGTTCGTTAGCATTTTCCACTTTGGGAATGTGGTTTCTTCTGTGCTTTCCTAAATAGTTCCCGTGGTTATCTATCACTACTGCCGTATTCCAAATGTTGTCTTCGCAGTTTTCGTCTCTCTCCAGTATTGTGGAAATTATAACCATTTTGTTCTCTGCTGCAAGCTTGTTGAAATACAATTAAAACTTAGCAAACTATTTTTCAACATGTACATACTGCCTGCAAAATTCTTGTTGTGGGTCCGTCTTCGGCATTTTCAGCATAATCACACCATGGTAATTTTTCACCCTTACAAAACGCGTAGGGCATATCTGAAGATAAATACGTTTCTTTCTGAGTACAAATTATTCAACATTTGAAAGTTGAATATTACTATTGGAGCATGTGCTTCCCGCAGAATACTCCAAAAACTTGGAGTAGCCGATAGGTTGTAATCATACAAACATACATACAAACAAAATACTAATAAATTAAGTTTCGAATCAATCAATCAAAATATACTTTATTTTCTAAAGAAGAGTTTCTTATTAGTGACAAAGTCTACAGAGTTGAAATGAAGAAGACGGTTAGAATTATAAAACATGTAATTTTCATATGTGTGATTGATGACTTGTTTACTTTATGGTAATTTATGATCACTTAAATGAAATGAATAAAGACACTTTTGTCTAAATACCAGTGGTAGATTTTATTTATACGACCCGTTTCGGGTTTAACCCCATTATCAAATATCAAACTGAAATCTGAAATTTTTAAATATCGGTTTTATTAGAATTTTCAGATATGTTGCAAGGGCAGGTATTTGAGAGACAGGTAGTTGGACGAATCAGGATGCCAACTTAAAATTCCACCCTGAAAATTCTCGGGGTTGTTAAACTCATGAATTCAAGATACGTGATCTACATAAATCGAGTTGCTCGTTTAGGGGTATATGTTTCTGGTTTTTAATTGATTTGTTAATTTCCATGGCCTCCAACAAAAGGTATGCTTGGCCATATC